TATTCATTTTTGTGTTATTATTATAAAGTTATTATTATTATTATTATTATTATTATTATTATTAAAGTCATTTGTGGAATATTTTTTTCATTGCAATAGATAGTAAGATCTACTAGTTTATTAATCACAGTTAAGGCAGACAGCGAAATATTATTGTTTTTTGTGTGCACAAAAGATGTAATTATGTGTTTAATTATTCTCGTAGTGTAAAATGCTAACAGCCCAGAGGTAGAATTGATAGCCCCGAATTCGGCGCATTTAACACTATATATACAAATAGGTGGGGTCGGGCTACGTGAATTAGATGACGTCTCTGGATTTCACTGAATGAATATATGGGTGATGAATGTACAGGTGTTGTGTGCCAAGTAATTTAAAACTTGGATTACAAGACGCACTTTTTTAAACTGATTAATGTATATGATATGACAATAGTTGATTGAAAAATACTTGCTATAATATGAAAATACATAGAAAGTCATAGAAAATATACACTGTAGTACTTTTAATTTATTCATAATTCGCAATTTGTTGTGCCACTTAGGGCAACCACACTACCACCACAATTTGTTGTCCTTTCAACAACAATTCACAAGTGTAAATTCAGATTTAAACTTAATAAACATTTGAGTATATTGTTTCCGCTATAAGGGAAACAAAATACTTCATTTCTGAGTCTAATTATCTCATACTTTCTGAGCCGATTGAAACTTTCTTTGTGAGAACACTGCTCACTGTGATGGGTAACATCAAAGTGTTTTCATTACGTGCACGTTTATTCGCCTCCTTTCTCACACTCTTACAAAACTTATGTGGCAAGCACAGTTGCTGGATGATCAAAGCTGTTTTAGTTAAGAGTTTGATGTTTCCGGTAATGGTCTAAAAAAATGCTGGCTATAGCTTGGGAGGGATTTTCATAATATTTTATTTACTATTTTTTGTACTCTTAGTTATCTTCGAGAACTTAGTTTCATGAATACATTTCCTTAATATAACCAAGTGCTAGTACATGCAACCAGACAAAATATGCAAATTGTAGAACGATCATAGCTAATTTGCATAGGAATAAATAATTGTTAGCTCATTTGCATAAAATAAACTTTTCGATCGCCCCAATAAATAGATAGGTAGGGTTACCGGGAGCATTTAAATTGGGGGGGGGCGCTAAAGAGGAGTTGTTGTTCTATTCTGAAATTACTGCCATTGAGAAGATGATGTCGTGACATTCCATCATACAAAACTACACACAACAGGGTGTGGAAATATCGTAATCAGGTAGCAGAACACGATTTTCGCACACAGGAGGAAATTCCTGAATGATTGTGTATTATATTTGTCAAATCCCAGTAATTGTCTTATGCAAAACTTGTTCCTTGTACTGGCGTGCTAAACTAGTAGGTTTATATCACAGTCAGCTGGCGCACACGTGATAATAAAATAAATGCGATATTTACTATATGGGGGCCGCCATCTTGAATGCGGCATAACACTAAATAAGGGACAAGTTGTGAAACGCATTTTTCAGATTCCTACAAATCAGGACAAAAATACCAATCTTTCACAAAAATCCGTTGGGGTTATATTAAGCCAAGTTATATTAACAAAATTCGGCCGAATTCGTCGTTTTTATGTGGAAAAATCCCTTAAATACGAATACCTAATTACACGAAGAACATAAAACACTTTTCTGGGGTATTTTAAACCAAAAATTGTCATTCCAGCTCAACAGCCAATAAGCGACGGCCTTATAGTTAGATGAAAATGTCGGTTTCAAAAACCCCGGCTAAGTGTTCTAGGTTCTTCGTGTAATTAGGTTTTCGTATCACTTAGTTTTCGCGACCAGGCTAAAAAAGCCAAATTGACAAATAATTATATAATTTTTTGTAAAACAAAAAAGAAGTCCCGACTTTGCTAGGAAATGTGTAAACAAAATATATAGAAGCGGCGAATCTCCAGTGACAGTTATAGATTTCGTTTCATTGATAACATCTGTGGCTAATAATTAAACTAAACAAATTACAAATAGCAAATCTACAATGAACAAATTATGGTTTTACCATGACTGTTGGGCTCTACAAAAAGAATTTAGAAGAATCTAGAATCTTCTCGAATATCCTCGGGAACCATCATCAAGGAATATAAAAAAAAATGTATTTAAAAAAAAGAAAAGAATTGAAAATCGCGCAAATAAATCGCGAACTTGAGAGTGCGAAAATGCGACCAATATATGTTCTGAAAAATACTCATGAACTCATAGGTCAAGGAATGGAAATTCAAATGAATCAATTACACCAGATGAATGGCATCTTGAATTTTCAAGGTGAATGTTCCGGCGAAGCACTCCACTATCACCTTGAAGTATTTCATTAGGACTATGTGTATGTGACAATGCCCTCACAGTTTAGAATCATATAACTTCTTTCTTCAACGCGCTTGGCCAAGCTATCAAAATCTTCGAGGCGGAGCTAAGTCACTAAACACTCCACGTTGTTATTTAAGATGCGCACCACTCTACCATGTATTTCTATGGACTCTGCGCGAGCTGCTGTGCACTGATCAAAAAGCCGGTGAAAATAGCTAAAATCGAGAAAACAGCACAAACTTAATTTTGAAGAAATCCAACCAAATTTAAATATATTGCATATGCAGGGATGACAACAACCATCCCAAAATACCGTTTTCTGAGTATTTATTGGCCTTTGTTTCACCATGATAGTTACCAGGCGGTGAAAATGCCTGACCCGAGAATAAATGTCGCTGAGCACAGCTAAAGCTGTGTTGGCTTGGATGTCGAGGCGATACAGCGACAATATCCATACATCATGCAACTCACTGATATTCAGACCAAAGCTATTCAAGCTTTACTTAATAATAGTGTTGTCA